ACGTGCAAATGTTCATCGTAGTAACACAAAGTGCAAGGCTGCACCTATTAACTTACTTTGGTTATTTATTACAGTTTACTAACGCTCTTGGCGTGGCAGCATTCTCATATGTACTCAGTCTTCTAATGTGGCTGCTTATTGAGGCGCCTGTCGCCGGTGTGTTAAAGGCTGTTATGAATTCCAGGTAAGTTCTTTTATAATATCACTAAATACGCAATACTTTATACCGAAAAGTTGAAACTCACCCATCGTCTCGCGCTTCCAAGACCCACGATTTTAGTCTGTATCAATCCATATTTTGAACTACATTAGCGCACACGCGTGTCGCGCCATATCGCGCGGTTTGTGTTAGGATAAAGCCCGGTATACACGAGGCTAGTTCTTCAAGCTAGGATAACAAGCTAGTGTTAATAAGCTAGCAAGGTAATTCTGACTTCGTATGTGCAGAACTAACTTCATTTCTAAGCCAGTAACCTAGCGTTTCAAGCTAGGATATTTTAATAGGATGGGTCCTATTTTTTGCGATCACTGATTTTACTATCCTGTCTCGTGTACTAGCTTCGCCAGGCCGCCGGCGAAGCGAGTACCCGATCGGCTAGTGTGCAGTGAGGACACGTTTTGTTTTCTCGGCTACAGACCATGTGTTTCTGGTACAATTAACATGTCAAAACTGAGTACCGAAAGTAATTTAAAATTTATACAATTGTACCGAAGAAGATGAAGAAGAGCGTCTGTAGAACGCCACTATTCCATCGTACAAAGATAAATCTTTGCGTGATTCAGCATTACAATAAATATGTGGCAAATTATTAACAATCGGTGGTAGGTGTAAATAGCCAAAGGTACTATGCGAAAAATGCAAATGGCTAGCACGGGAGTTGGCTCCAAAAGGGAATTTAAAAGGCAGCAGAGATCCACTCACCTGGATGTCTTATCATACAAGCGAGAAAAACGTCGTAGCATGCGTTTCTCTTTGCTTTGTAATATGGACAATTTAGCTTCCATATTATATTTAAATTTAATTATTGCAAAAAGAAATTTCAATTCAAATTAATCTGAAATGTCAAAATAAAAATGAATGAAATGGCGGATGAAATTATGAGTATTGTGACAACAAATATTACGTTGATCACAAGTGAAATATGAGTATAATTTAGAAAATGGAATGAATCCGGCTCGAAGGACCAAATAATGTGGTAGAGTGTATAAATAGCCAAAGGTACTATGCGAAAAATGCGAATGGCTAGCACGGGAGTTGGATCCAAAAGGGAATTTAAAAGGCAGCAGAGATCCACACACCTGGATGCTAGTCGGCGCAGATGTACACGATGAGATGCGGTGCGGTACACAGAAGTGGTTTATTTATTGTAGAAAAATTGCGGATATACTTGACAAGAGGAATAATTAGAATGAATGATGGCTTATTATTTTTTCAAAGCGGCCGACTAAAGAGCAGGCCTGTACTGCATGTACCAAAGAGGATTTAGTGCGTAACCATGCTCCCGGCCTTGGAATTCGCAGAATTTCAATGGAGATGAGGTGCCCTGTGGTGTACGGAAACATAAAATGCAATAAAAGGAGATGATATGATAATCTAATATTAAACGGAAAGAAACTTCTAAAGCTCATAAAAACTACTGAGAAGGTAGAGGATACAATTTAGCAACAGGACGCTTAAATGTTCCGTTCATTGTTTTAACAATGGCTACTTGAACCAGACCCTGGATAAACATTTGTAATTATTCCCAAAGGCCAATGAAGAGGCGGTACGTTATCATCGCCCATCAAGACCACAGTCCCTATTTTGATGGGATGATCCTGACTGCACCATTTAGTTCTGACTTGCAGCGTGTGCAAATATTCTTCAAGCCATCTTTTCCAGTAAGTTTGTACTATGCTCTCCAGCAACCTTTTCCTATTGCTGAGATTACGGCACTCACTAGACAAATCAGAAGCAGGTAAATACTGAAGCGGTGTAGACATTAAAAAAGTGCGGGTGTTAATACTTCCGGGTGCGGATCCGAAGATATAGCACTAAGCGGTCGCGAATTGAGTATACACTCAATCTGTACAAGAACGGTAACTAGTTCTTTATATGTCAGAAGTTGCGAACCTATGACGCGGTACAATTGTGACTTAAAACATTTAATATTGGACTCCCACATGTTACCGAAATGAGAAGAACGCAGAATTTTCCATTCAATACGGCGATTAGCGCATTCGGAATTGAATTTAGATTTAAACTCCGAACAGAGCGTTGGATGTGCGGGTTTAACGTGGAAACATTGATTGCATTTATACATTTTCGCCCCAATGACAGTTCTGCCATCTAGTATCCAGAAACGCTGGCGAATGATGGACATCAAAAGAGCTGCACCAACATGACAATTCACAGCATAGTAGTGGTCTATAATAAAATTGACTATATGGTCACGTTTTTGAAGTAGCCCGGGATATTTTGCTTCAAATGGCAAATCTGCGTTTGAAAGGCGACCACCAACACGTAAAATATTGTTGTCGTCACAGAAAACTGACAGCTTCAAAAGTTTACGCGACCGAACAAGATTTTTTGGCCGGTGGGGGGGGCCGGTTTGAGGGCCGGTTGGGAGGCCGGTTGGGAGGCCGGTTGGGAGGCCGGTTGGGTGGCCGGTTGGGGGCTTTTTAGTTGTTCTAAGAAACAATTGAAATAACAATTAAAACCGAAAGCACCGAATAAAAGTGTCATTACGAATATGGGTTAAGGGGTGGGTTAGGGGGTGGGTGGGGGGGTCGGTTGAGGGACCGGTTGGGGGGCCGATTGAGGGTTTGTGACCCACCCCCTAGCCCACCCCCTAACCCAACCCGCCTACACACCCACCTACTCACCCGCTAACCCACCTACTCACCCACCCACTCAAACCCACTCACCCACCCCTTCACCCACCTCGTAACCGACCACCTAGACCCCCAACAGGCCTCCCAACCGACCCGCCAACCGACCTCCTAACCGGATGGGTTACTAACCTTTTTTTTTTTTTTTTTTTGACGGGGGGGAAATCTTTATGGATACCCCTGAGCCCAGGGAGACTCAGGGGTTATGTGGGGACTCTCCCTCCACACTGGAAGGCCTACCCCACTAAAACCCCCCCGGGTTTCCCTCTCGCCGGTTGAGTCGGCGCCGTGGGATCAGTGAACATTCACCACGACGCCGCCCGGCCGCCCTAGCTTGGTATATCCACTTTAAAGATAAAAAATTAAATATTATATGACAAACTACACGATATATTCAACGCAAATGCATAGACATTAATCAGAAACATAAAACAATAAAGTTTCCTCGATAGATAAAAATCACGAAATGACCTCTAATTTTCAAATGTTTTCGATTTATCCTCGAAATGCTACAGGTTATTAGGACAAAAATTAGATAATTAATTATATTTATGCATGATCGACAACTGTCACTACGGATTTTTTTAATCCCTTTAGTTTTAGAGCTATTCCGCTAAAACGAATTTGGTACTTTTAATGCGCAAAATTCAACATCTCCTGTCGCATGTCACGCAAACTTCAGGCATATATTTGTTTCACAAATTAGGGCGGAGCCACCGTCAAAACTTTTTTGCCTTGCTCCCTCTTAAATATTCCGTAACGTACCGCGTCTCGATTTTTTCCCGTAACGCGAAAATGAAGCGAGACTAAAATAAAACCCTACAAAATAAGTACGTACGTTCGATTGTGTTGATGAGTGGAACGCGCTATCCAGATTTATAAAAGTGAAATTTATCACTAAATGACCCTTCTTTTTAGTGTATTGTATCTAAAAGAAATCTAATATAGTGCAAATAGAGTAAAAACATTTTTGTTTCAGAAAATCTGCAAATATCAGCAAGTTGCGAGAAAACACAAGCCAACAACCGAAAAGTGAAGAAAATGGTTGCAGCAAAAACAAAATATTGTGATGGAAATAATTATAACTAAACTGTTTTGTAAATAAAAGTAATATAATGAATTATAATATGTATTTCTATCATTGACTTACAATTATATGGACGTCGGGTCCGCGCTAAAAAGTGTCCGCACTTGTAAGGCGCTAAAATCGTATACAGAGCGCGACACTCCGCTTTAGTCTTCATTTGTTCTACTGACAGCGCGATACTGCGATGACATAACAATTTAAATTTCGAATAGATTGACTTGGGACATTTTTTTCGTGGTTTTTGTGTTAGACCCGTCGTCCATTTATTTGTAAGTCAATGATTTCTATAAACATATTTAATAGGTACATAGAACAAAACTACAGTGTAACAAAAAACATTAGGAGACTAAAAAAGAAATTATTCGTAAGAAAATAAAGTTAAACATCCTTGATTTATCGGGTTCTTAAAGCTTTTTTGAGATTGTTATACATTTCTTTGAGATCTAAATTGTATATTTGTTTTTTTTTCAAACAAACTAACGTTACAACCGTGACCAACCTGTGACTACATCGAGTATATAACTAGAAATGGAGACGAAATGTCATTTAATTTGTTTGAAAATTATTCTGCCGAATCATTACGGTGACAACTGCGCTCCGATTGGCCAGCCCAAATTAGAAACAATTGAGGGGTGTCGTCAATTGTTTCACTTCAAACCGACCTGTTTAACGCGAGCTTTTCTAAAATGGACGGAAATTGAAAAATTACATATTTAATTACCGATGAAATGTGATTCCGTTAGTTTTGTAATGAGACGTTTTGCTGTTTTTCCCACACCACCGAATGGAACAGCCCAACAGTTAGAGATGTTATCTTTATTACAATAAATACAGAATATTTTTGGAATCTACGGAGACGTACACACAGGTCATTTGTTGGCGCTGTACTATTTCAGCTTTCAAATTTGTGATTTCAGCGCACACGAGAGTTTATATTTAAAAGTGACCAGGGCTGGATGGCCCTTATTTCTTCTCTATTTCTTTTCATATACCTACTTGATGCTGTGAAAGCTCGACGTTGGTTTGTTGGAAAAAAAATACACTATTTTGATCTGAAATAATAGTTTCACTTCATCCTTGATTTATTTCTTGAAATAAGTTTAAAATGCCATGCTCAAACTGCAAAAAGATAATCCTCAAACTTAACGTTCTTATATTTAAGGGCGCCTTCAAATTAGACGTTTATAGCAGCGCTACAGTGGCGCCACTGTGTCGCTGCTGCCGCGCCACTAGGTTACTAATTTCATACGATGTTTAGAAGCGCAGTTGCAGCGCCACTATCCTGAGACGCGCGCGCTACTTTTACACTCACAATTAGTGAGTTAAATAACACTGAAGCGTAACAGATGCACGGCTGCCGCGCAACAGCAGCGCTTCTACAACTATCTAATATGAAGACACCTAAAATCGTTCGATTTCGAGGGAAACATTTTTGAACGAAAACTAAAAGGCTTTCGTATTATTTTTTGGGCGTTTAAAATTATTTTTGCAATAATCGTTTTTAATTTCATTTTTTTGGACGTAGCCAGAAATCTCTTGTGGAATCGCAATAAGAGCGCAACTGCTTGCGGTCCCAAGATAGTGTTTCCATACGCCACTCAGGAGAGACGTATGGTGGCTTTAACGGGCGTAGTGCCATCTGGAAGGTAACAAAAATAGAATAGAGGGATATGGAAATGGTACATAATATTATATGATATTTCATCGGCTATAAATTCGTACAAGAGTACGGTGGTGTGGTGGTGGTGGTGTGGCTTTTTCGTACCAAGAGGTACAAAAAAGCCACATGTGATCATACGTCTAAAGTGCTTTTATCACATGAAAGGCATGAAAGTTACAAAAATAATGACATTTTTATGAAATAAATTATGTGTTACAAATCTCTTTTGTATATATATTTTTAACCGACTTCAAAAAAGGAGGAGGTTCTCAATTCGACTATGTTCTTTTTTTTGTATGTATGTTACGCGATAACTCCGGTATTTGTGAACCGATTTTCATGATTCTTTTTTTATGTATGTATATTTCCATAGTGATCCCATTTCATTTTGAAGAAAATCATCCACCTCAAAGGGTGGCTGTTCACGCATGAAGGTTCATTTTTATAAATAGCGCCTAACTTTAATTTAGGAGCAATTACTTTTAGCAATTATTTAGTTGATTTTGCTATTTCTCCAATTCAAGGCGTTTTTCCCTCGATATACTTTGAGTAGTGTCTAGTGAGAACCTATTTTTATTATCTCCAGTATCAAGTCCTGTATAGTGGCGAACTAGGGGATATTTCAATGAAACTTAGCAAATAGACGTAATTCCACGTACTTTTGAGGTCGGTTTTTTTAGTACTCTGTACTGAGATTATATATAGTCTTTTTAAGTTTAGTTTTATATTTAAATTCTAAATTTAATTGTGATTGTTTTTGGAGCCTTTTCTTTACGGTTGTTTCTGTTTTTGGATTGATAGCTGTACGTGTTTTGTAATAAATTTATAAACTAAGTGCATTTACTTTGGTCTTGCTCACTCGATGATAGCACCACCCGAACCCATTGATACAGTCCGCTACATTATGTATATGCGAAATTTTATAAATCTCCTATTTTAGCATGGGTCTCTTTTCGTTGGACACTTTCACTTCACACGTTTCCTTTCCGATATTTTCTTTCACCAAAACGCTCATATATTACAAAACTGATACTAAGTAAGAAATAATAAAAAAACACGTTATACGAATAAGTCGAATACGTAATCTACTAACCGGATTTGCGGGCGCTGGGTGTCCGGGCAATGGCGCCTTAATGCTTACAGTAGGCGAAATAGCTTCCTCCATCTTCTGTGTCATATCGGTGGTGTACATCTCATTGATGAGGATACTGCGTGCAGGCTCCTCCATGTCATCCATACTTAATGCCGGCGTCATTACCAGGCGGGGCCGGGTCTTTTGAACTTCAAGGCGTTT